GAGGTAATCCTCTTGGTTTCCTTCAGAACTCTTTTGGGAAAGGCATGCAGACTAGGGTTCTGTCTTGCATTAACCTATTGAACATATGTGCTCATAGTTTCTGCTCTTGGAAAGGCAGCATTTTTGGCAGCTTCAAATTCCTCTTAAATTAGAAGGAATTGTTCTGATTTACATTACTGCCTCCTTCATCTGCCTTTATTGGAATTATACCAAGCATAATACACTAGCACAAATTTATTACAGGATTACTGCATTACATGTATGGAATCCCAGTCTGGTTTGGGTTGGAAGGGACACTAAAGCTCATGCAGTTCCAACCCCCTGCCACAGGCAGGGACACCTTCCACTAGAGCAGGTTGCTCCAAGCCTCGTCCAACCTGGCCTTGAACACTGCCAGGGATGGGGCAGCCACAGCTTCTCTGGGCACCCTGTGCCAGGGCCTCAGCACCCTCACAGGGAAGAATTTCTTCCTAATGCCTCATCTGATTCTCCCCTCTGTCAGCTTAAAGCCATTGCCCCTTGTCCTGTCCCTACAGGCCTTTTGCATAACCTGGCTATGAAAACCTCATATCCAAAGGTTATTACCTATTCCGAAGTATTATGTAGCAGGGGACATTTGTTTGTAAATAAATAGCAAGGCCATTACCTAAACTTCCAAAGGATCATCTGTCTCTTCCCTAACATAAATAGGCCACAGTATGCATAGCAGCAGTTGGATTTGGTTTTTCATCTGTGCATTTGTCATGATCTTCCTAATTAAATATACCAGAACTCAGGAGGGCTGTATTTCTGGAACACAGCCATTGGCAGCACTGGAAAACACTAGAACCTGCTCTGCCGCAGCTGTGCCTGCTCAGTACTAACATTCATAGAGCTGCAATGTCACAGCTCCACATGCAGCATCCAGCAGAGATGCAGCAGTGCCAGTCTCACCCCAGCCAGCAGTAGACAAACGTAACCCCTTCTGGGAGCATTAATAATGCAAGGTAGGCAAAGTACAAGGCTTGGCACAGCCTCATGTGTGCATTAGCTGAGGCAACCAGGACGAACAAAGTTAAATATGGCTGGATGAGTCACCAGCCTGCGTGGATTTCTGGTACCCTTTTTCCATCACCCTCAAGGGCTTCATGAATAAAGATAAGCTGCACACTCTCCATTTATCACACTCACTCCCCTTGCCTTCTTCCATCACTGTACGTGCACACTTAATAAACTGCCTTATCTTTTTTGGTAGCAGTGACCCGAAAGATTCAACAAACCCAAGCCTGAATAATTTAACTATAACCAAACAAATAGCTGAGCAAAATGATAAGGGAAGGCTTAGCTGACAATGGTGCATGAAGAAAAACTTATCTTTAGCTGACAATGTGGTCAGTGTATGATGTCAACACAACAAAAACTGCATCAGGTGAATAACAAAAAGCTACCTTGACCTTTCCGATTGTCATTCCGTAATTTCAAGTTAAACATCTGCAGCAATAAAAGACAAAGAAATGAGGGAGGAAAACATTTAAACTTGTTATGGCTTTGCATTACGAGGGTCAGGTTTTGAAAACCCATGGATTTGGTATGAGATTAAATGCAAAGTCCTAAATTTCTTCCACTATGGTTTCAGGGCTTGTGAACAACTCCTGCGCATCTCCCATGCTGCAGGCAGCAAGACAGCATACCATTGTCCATCAGAAAAGGAGATTAGAAGATGCTATGCTTTCCTACAGAGTTACCACCCCAAGGTATTTAATCTTATTTGCTGAGTTGCTTGGGTTTCACAAACCCAGCTAAATTAATGCAGCCTGTAAGTACTTGGAGTGACTGGTTTATTTGTTTCTAGTATGCTCCAAGCAGACATAAGCAGCACACTTAAGGACCCAAGCACTTACTGTATTTGGGACTTACCTAAGCAATTTAATTACAAATGGCCTTGGCACGTTAACATTTCAAACAAGCTGCCTCACTACGGACTTCCAAATTTGCTTCAAGTTAAAGAGGCTCCACTATACAAAAAACAAGGGCATGAAAGATGAGCTCGCAGAGCCAGATTGCAATAAGTGAATTCCCAGAACCACCAAGCCGTACTTAGAGCAAATGCATTGTAAAGCATTAGAAGTCTGGCCATACGTGGGATATGCACAGATCCCTTATCCTCAGTATAAGGATAGCATATCTTTATATGAAGAGATGTATATGAGAAACTTAACATGAGCCGGCAGTGTGTGCTTGCAGCCCAGAAAGCCAACTGTATCCTGGGCTGCATCAAAAGGAGCATGACCAGCAGGTCAAAGGAGGTGATCCTGCCCCTCTACTCTGCTCTCGTGAGACCTCACCTGGAGTATTGTGCGCAGTTCTGGTGTCCTCAGCATAAAAAGGACATGGAACTGTTGGAACAAGTCCAGAGGAGGCCACAAGGACGATCAGGGGACTGGAGCTCCTCCCGTATGAAGACAGGCTGAGAAAGTTGGGGCTGTTCAGCCTGGAGAAGAGAAGGCTGCGTGGAGACCTCAGAGCAGCCTTCCAGTATCTGAAGGGGGCCTATAGGGATGCTGGGGAGGGACTGTAGCGATAGGATAAGAGGTAATGGGTTCAAACTTAAACAGGGGAAGTTTAAATTGGATATAAGGAGGAAATTCTTTCCTGTTAGGGAGGTGAGGCACTGGAATGGGTTGCCCAGGGAGGTTGTGAATGCTCCATCCATGGTGGTGTTCAAGGCCAGGTTGGACAGAGCCTTGGGTGCCATGGTTTAGTGTGAGGTGTCCCTGCCCGTGGCAGGGGGGTTGGAACTGGATGATCTTAAGGTCCTTTCCAACCCTAACTACTCTATGATTCTATATACTCTGTGCTGTTTTGGGGGATTGATTTTGGGGTTCCCCCCATCTCTGTATAAAGCCTATAGAGAAGACACCAGAGAATTCCTACAGGAGTTCACTTTCTACAAACCCCAGATAAGAGTCCTTAAAAAAAAAGGGGGGGGGGGGGAGGGGGGAATTCCTTGGAATATTCCAGATTTGGAAACTCTTAAGAAATGTAGAAAATTCCTAGGTAGTTAGGAAAAAAGTTTCCATGAAAGCTGATGAGGATTTCTTAGAAACATGAAAAGTTCACAGGAAAACAGGAATTCCTACAAAGCTGAACAGAAAGGTCATACAAGAGAAACTCAAGAATCCTGGAAAGCACTGCACAGCTCCCAAGAGGCAAACTGAGAATTCCTTAAAAGCACAAGGGAATCCCTAGAAAGCAAACGGGACATTCCTAGAAAGAAATCAGGGAATTTTTAGAGAGGAAATGGGGCACTCACAGAAAGCAGATCTGTCATTCCTAGGAAGCTGACAAGAAATTCCTGAAAGCAAACAGAGAATTACTAGACACCAGGAAAGGAAACTCTAGGAAATAATCAGGGAATTCCTAGAAAGCAAATGAAGAACTCTTGGTAAACGAGGAATGAATTTCTAGAGAGCACGGAAGGTTTTGGAATGCAGATGGGGAATTCTTAGGAAGGAAGAGGGGAATTATTAGAAAACAGATGAGGATTTCTAAGAAAAGCAAGCAACGGATTCTTGACAGCAGCAGGGAATTCACAGCAAGGCAAAAAGAAGGGAAAAAGAACACCACATTCCAACAGATGCTGGTTATAAAGACTAGAGAGAACACAGGGACCTTCCAGAAAGCACTGGGGAACTGCTAGAATGGAAAGAGAAAATTCCTTGAGCAAGCAGGACTTTCCTTGAGAGCACAGTAGGGAATTCCCACAAAGCGGAGAGGAATTCCCAGAAATAAGACTGAATTTGTCTAAAAGAGGGGGTCTTCCTAGAAATCAAGCAGGCGTTCCCTAGACTGGGGGATTTCCTGTAAGGCCATGGGGGAATTTTGAGAAAGGAAGAAATGCCAGGAATCAAATCCGGGTTTCCTCAAAACAAGTGACCCTCCATAGAAAGATGAGGGCATATTACTAGAAAGCAAATAAGGCATTCCTGCAAAGTCAATGAAGAACTCAGCCTAAAAAGCACAAAGGACTCCTTCATAGTGTAGGCAGGCCTAGAGAGCAATGGGAAATTGCTTAAAAGCAGAAGAAAAATTCACAGGCAGCAGGTAAGGACGTTCCTAAGAGGTAGATAGGGAATGCACAAAGGAGACATGAGGATTTCTTAGGAACCAGGGGAGAGCCATTCCTAGAAAGCCAAAGACTGGTATTCCTAGTAAATGAATTCCTTTCAAAGTGGAAAAGTCCTAGGAAGTGTTAAGGGTCAAATTGTAGAAAGCTAAAGAGGTGAATTCTAGAACACAAACCAGCTGCATCCACAGAAATCATGGAAAATTCCTGTAAAGCAAGAGGAATTCTTAGAAATTAAACTTGCAGAGTCCTAGAAAATGTGGATAATTCCTACAAACAGGTCATGGGAGTCTCAGAATGCTTTATGTTTCCTTAGAACGCACCAAGGAGCAGCGCTGTAAAGCAAAAGGGGAGGATTCGTGGGGAAGCAAAAATAATGGGCTCCTACAGAATGTGAAAGCTCCCTAAAAATCAAAAAGCAGGGAGAGAATCCTGGAAGAAACAGATAGAGCCCTAGAAAGCATTAAAAGGCAAGTACTAAAATAGTGCATACATTTCCTAGAAAGCAAACAGGTGAGGGTTTATGGAATGGCGAATAGAGAGGGTTGTGGTCCTAAAAGAGCAGGAGAAGCTTCCCTTAATGCTTCTAGAAAACATTTTGAGGAAACCATTCTTGATTTTGAATGAGAGAACACTCAGACTGCAGGACAGGGCTTTTTCCACACTACACGTGCCTGTGCCTGTCAGCTGCAGCCTCATGCAACAGAGACTTCTTCTAGAGAGTGCATTTAAAAAAGCATCAACAGAAAACAGCTCCATCTAAATCCTTACATCTTTGAACTGTGAAAGCCATTGAGCCTTGGGCCTCAGAGAAGTTGAGGGTTGGGCAGAAGGTTCAGAGCTAGAATCCAGCTCTAACGCTAAGGTCACACGTAGCAGATTTTGAGAAGCTCACCATAGGACGTTTACCTTCACCATCAATTTCCCCTTGAACAGTTGTGTGGGCTTATCTGCAGAAAATGGCAGTGGTGCACCTGCAGACTCTGGGGAAATTAAAAGAGAACAGCTTTCCATAGGAAAGTCAGAACGTACGCACAGAGGGTTATTTTACAAGTCTTATCTGTACGCCTGTAAGGGATTACTCAGCAGCCCTCTGTGTTAAGACACGGGGTGATTTCTTCTTACAACCTTACCCATCTATTAATCTGTATATTTTATGTAAACTACTACTCCAAGCTGAAACACAACAAAGCAGCTACAGCCACCTCATCGTTAAATGGGAAATGGGCAAGAGAAAAATCTGTGATTCCTTCCTCCCTGCCTGGGGAGAAGTTCTCCATCAAGTTTTTAGTTCCATAAGCTAAAATGCTGCACCAGCTGGTGACCAGAGCATCGCAAGGTTTCAGTGCTGGTCTAAGTGGACTGACCCACCTTCCATGGACATCAACTGGAGCTTTGCCACAGAACCTCAAAGAGAGCTGGATGGAGTGTCCATTTTCTGCTTTGTTACCTGCCTTTGCCTCTGTTTACACAGTGCCCGGCTCCTTCCCTAGGGAAATAAACTCCCCTGAGCCAGGATTTGACTCCCCCATCTTTCCCCTCCCACACTTCTCTTTTATTTCAGGAATTACTTGCATGCTTTGTGTTCAAAGGAGACCACATCAGAATGCCATATGTTTATTCATCACCATACCCTGTCAATCTTTCAGACATGATGACAGCCTGACAAGGCAAAAGCGTGCGTTTCCAAACCCACCTGAATGCTCCTGCTTCAGGTGGCACATGGGAATTGCTCACAGTCTTCACTAGCAGGAATGGAAATTTTAAGAACTGCTTAATTTTCACTCTCATCTTAGGTTGGCAGCACTAGAAAGCAAGGTGGCTTGTAAACAAGGAGAGTTTTAGATGGGATTTAGCAAATAGATAGGGCATCACGCAGCACAGGATCACTTTAACTATCTCAGCCTGAGAAATCCAGGGAGCACATTTTAAAGCAATGGTGAATATGAAATAGCTGAGTCTACCTCAGGCAGGACAGACCTGCCAGGAATCCCAAACAAGCTACACTGGGTGCTGAGGGCACAGAGGGTATGCTACTGCACAGCAGATCAGCATCATCTGCAGCTTCTGCTGTTTTTCACAGCTAACTGAGCAGGTGCATCCAAAAAAAGTTTCTTCCTAAACTAAAACAAAACACTACAATGAACCAAAAAAAACAACCTCCAACTTCCAAACTTTAAAGCTTCCTCTTTCCTCTCCTCCAAAACTATAATAATTGTGAAGAAACTCAGGTTTAAAACATAGAGGCAACTGACTTAAGGTCATAAAGATCCAGCTGGAGAAGAATTTCCCTTTAAGTTAAAATAAGGCCATATAACAAAGATAGCTCTCACTTCTATGTAATTAATACTGCCATAACATCAGAAACATACTGAGTGGAGCATACTGCATGGAGCATAGTGCAGGAAGCAGGCGTGTTTTCATTATTTTTGACAAGACCTTCATGCTAGTGGTATCAGTGGCAGAGTACATCAGTAAGATGACTTCAGGTTTGTTTGGCAGAGCTCCGAGCTGCAGGAACAGTTACAGTGAGAACTGTCATCACTGAAATACACAGTCATATTAAAGGTCTTTTTCAACCTACTTGACTCTATATCCACAAGTAGAAATCTATGCCTGCCTAAATAGATCTACAAAGCCAATAAGGACAGAAGTGATATATCAGTTGTCTTGTGTATAAGAAATTCCTACACTAATTAGGTGACTGTAAATACAGGATGAGGAACAGTGCTGTTTTGAGGCAACTCAAACGCCATGGAGATAAAAGCCTCGTACTTAAAACACACAGACAAATGCATAAATCAGGAAACCTTATTAACTTGTTCATTCACCTGGGATGTCAGCAGTTCAATACAAATGCCTAAACTGTGATGGTTAATCAGTTTGCTATTAGAGGCACTTAACAGGGTTTAGGGTAAGGTGGCCAGGGCTTATCTCCAGCTGCCTTGGCAGTGCTTTCTTCATGTGCTGAGTGGTTCAAGGTTTTGGAGTAGGCAATATTTGCCAAACCCAAACTGGCACAGAGCCTCAGATTATGCAGTAAAACTGAGGCTTACAGTTTGTCTGAACTTTGCATGTCATGTGCACAAGCCCAAGCAAACAGGTCACTCACCAGAGCAGGAACTCCTGACTTGTGACACACTGTCATAGCTAGGACTGTGCCAAATCCATTCATGCCAGTACTTGGAACAGGCTGCCCAGGGCAGTGCTGGAATCATCGTCCCTGGAAGTGTTCACACATTGTGTAGAAGAGGCCCTCAGTGACGCGGGTTAGTGGTGGCCTTGGCAGTGCTGGGGAACAGTTGGGCTGGATGATCTTGAAGGTCTTTTCCAACCTCACTGATCTTATAAACATTTATTTTTGGCTGATGGGTGATCCTGACCACCAACACATCTGTGTTAATTATTATTCCATACTACACAGTTAGCACACAGAAGCTATAAGCATGTATATGACCAAATTTTCTTCTTAGAGGCTCATCAGAAAGAGAGATTAAGCTAGGTTTTGGAGGGTGAGGCAATGAAGTGGTGATGAGGGAGGCACAAGGAAATAAAAAGGAGTACTATACAGGAGGGCAGGATGTCAGCAAATAGCTTGGGCAGGAACCAAAAGATGGGAAGCAAAGGAAAGTCTCAGCAGCAATAGAGAACAATAAAGCCCAGGATATATATACCTGAAAAACGTCCTGGAAAGACTACAGAGATCAAAGGGTAGAGGTCCTGATTGCTGTCCCTTCATTTTTCTCTCCCTGAGGAACAGCTCAGCCCATCACAAGACCCATGCAGCTGCAGAAGATCCCAGAGGGGTTGGTCTGTGTGGAATATTGTCTCCAGCTCCTAAAACAGATACTCAATGACATTCATCTCAAATACTTACTGCAAAAAATTGCAGGGTTATAGGAGCTATCAACTCTCAATGCAGAGCATCGAGGGGGCTGTTCTATGCAAAGAACAATTACAAGGAATTAGGGGGAAAAGAAAAAATAACAAAATCAGAGTTGTTTCTAATTTCCTCTAATTTGCTTTCTAGCAATTTAGAGGTATCTTGTTTTCTGTACAGAAAAGGCCATTTATACCCTAGGAATAATAGGACGGGCAGTTTGTGAAAGCAGGAGACTCCCATAGGTTTGGTGGAATTTCAATAGCTAAAGGAATGAGCTGCAAAATCAGCCAGCTAGGAATGGAAAGCAACCCTTGAATAATTGCTTCAAGTAGTGCAATAATTAGTAATTATTGCACTGCTAGGAGAAAATAATGCAAAGAAAAATGCTGAGCAAATGCCACTGTCTGCTTCTCTAACAATTATGTTTGAGAACATCAGATACATGCAATGAATGTGCCTGAAAGAGAATAGTAGCTTTAGAGTCAAGAAATTGCTCCAAAACTGATGACCCAGTAAGATAAAATGATTGCTTAGAAGGAATAAAACAAGTAAATGGAATCCTAATGACTTACTAATAGCTACAGCCTTCTAAGTAAGCCTGTGAGTAGTTTACTCTTAGTTTTATGCTTAAAAGACAAAAAAAAAAACCCTGAATGTTTTAACACATAGGTAGATAAGCAGAGTTTTGTTCCCTTTACATTACATCCAGTGATGCGTGACAAATTAGCCTGCTGAGTATAGAAATAACCTGTTTTCAGGAAGAAGCCTCTGCCTCTGTCCTACAGAGCAGCATGCCAGGGCTCTTTGAGAAGCAAGCAGAGCTGATGTACAGCAGTAAGGAAAAAACACTGGGAGCCAGGATCAAATCATTGCCACAAGTGCTACTACTGCTTTGTTACATGCATCAGCTAACTGGAAGGAACTAGGCTGAATACAGAGATATGAAATCAGTAAGTAAATATTAGGGTCTTTATCAAAGGCTGATGAAAGAGCTGCACGGCCCAACAGTCCTGGCTCAGCTCGCTGCCCAAGACCAGCTCCCTGGTAAAAGCTGCTGTGCAGAAAGTGCCAGGAGATTCCCTGGTTGGGTTTCTCCCCTTTTGCCTGGGAACTGCTTAACACTGATGCTCATGTCCTTGATCTCCCTTAACCTACACTGCAGCCATTCTTGTGCCTGAGAAGGCACCCCACTAATCTGGACCAGCTTTAGCATTCTAATTGGAGCCCTGCAATCATCCTGCCCCACACACTGGCTACAGAAAGAAGTCAAAGAATCAAGCAGCTTGCTCCAAAGGAAGAGCATCCTCCTTGCATGCAGAGATACAATGAGGAGGTAACATTTCTCATTTTTCCCTGCTCAGGCAAGATACAGCCTTAAATCTGCTAAAAGCAAGTAACTAAATGAAAGCTCCACAGACACTCTTACACTTGTAGGCAGCAGCTGGGAGAGGTAACCTCAATCTTGAAATCACCTTCATGTCTTTGACGGACAGGTGACATACAGGCAGCCAGGTCATCACAAACTTCGTAACTGCCAAGTGCTGGATATGGAGGGACAGCATTCCCGAGTTAAACAGGTTTGCAATAAACCCAACTGCAAATGCACAGTGCCTTTGGCATCCATCATTTAAAACTCCTTCTCCTACAGCTGTTCCAGGATTGGTTCTTTCCTAGTAGTTTTTCTTTCTTCCTGTATTCATTTGCCAGTGCAGATGAAGGTCAGGGGAAAACAATTCAACACAAGCTGACTACAAGTTCAGAGCTCACCTTGCTACACAGACATAATCAAGGCATCAAACCAGAAGGACAGCATCCACTTTCTGCTAGGAATGTGTGCCAGGCTTCAAAACTCAAACCAGATGGTGATCTGCTCCTTTCCAAACACACTTTATTCGTTACAAAGACTATTTCAAGCAACACTACGTCACCTGTCAGGCTAAATGCAGATTAGCATTCCCAAATTTCAGATTCAAATTGATTCACATTTCCTAAGCAGGGAGCTATAAATGTAGTTGTGTGTTTGGGGCAATTTCCAGCCCAAAAGCCGTTGGTTTAATGTGACACACAAACACATCAGAGGACTACGGGTAATCAGGCTGCCAAGCAGCTTCTAAGGTGTAGGCGTCCATACAAATACATACATTTGCAATCCAAGCTTCATGAAGCAGCAGCCTACCAAGGATGAACAGGAAAGCAAATCCCACATCTCCCTGCCACCCACCTCTCCCCTGTTCCCAGCACATCACATACACACAGTCACACTGAGGTTCCCATTGAGCTCAGCAAGCTCTGGTCAAGCCTGTGCTTCCCATCTCCAAGCACAGGAAACCTTCTCAATAGAGAATAGACCAAGTGACAGGAAACAGCCCAAAGTATCCTCACCAACAGAGTATTATACTGAAAAAAAAAAACAGAAACTACCACACATCACTTTTGAAGACTTCTAAATGCATCGCAGCACTATAGCCCAGCATCACAGACTTCTTTAAAGACTCTACTACAGCTATTCCAGGCAGAGATGTGGGCCTGCTAGAGCAGGTCTAGAGAGGGTCATGGAGATGCTCTGAGATCTGGAGCAGCTCTGCTCTGGAGCCAGGCTAAAAGGGCTGGGCTGGTTCAGTCTGAAGAGGAGAAGGCTCCAGGGACACCTTAGAGCAGCTCCAGTGCCTAAAGGGGCTACAAGGGATCTGGAAAGAGAGGCTTTTGAGAAGGGCCTGTAGGGACGGAAAAAAGGGGAAATGGCTTTAACCTGACAGAGGGGAGATTGAGATGAGACATTAGGAAGAAATTCTTCCCTGTGAGGGTGCTGAGGCCCTGGCACAGGGTGCCCAGAGAAGCTGTGGCTGCCCCATCCCTGGCAGTGTTCAAGGCCAGGTTGGACACAGGGGCTTGGAGCAGCCTGCTGTAGTGCAAGGTGTCCCTGCCCATGGCAGGGGTTGGGACTGGATGAGTTTTAAGGTCCCTTCCAACCCAAACCAGTCTGGGATTCTATGATTCTACAACTTTCCCCCCTCCCCACACACACACAGATAACACCTAATACCCTGCACATTAGCAGTGGAAGCAGGCACAGCTCTAGCAGGCACTGGGGTTTTTCCTCCCCATTTTATAATTCACAGACTGCAGCTGAGGCTCCCCGCTGGAAGCAATCCCCATCTCCACCTGTGCTGCAATGCCCTGAAGATGCCACTCACTCACTTGAAACACACACCTCACACCGGGGGGCTCCCACCAGCATACGCACACATCCCACACCTCAGAGGTCTCGAGGGGAGGCATCGCACCCAAGCAGATGCTGTGTTCAGAAGCGACATCCTTGGCAGCTGGCATTGTGAATATTCCTTAGAAATCCATGCCATTTATCTACCTGTTCTTCTGCGACAGGCAGACCCAAAAGCAACTCAAATATTGATCCATCTGGGACAGGGATGCGTCATCTTATTTAAAACCCTCACAAGCCTATGCCAGAGGAAATGGAGTTTGTAAAACCTTTTACAGGGGGATGCCCAGGAAGACGCTGCATCCCTGACAACCTGCAGCAGTCACAGAAGGAAGAATGATGCGGGAGCTTGGCAGGGCATCAGGAAGGCTGCTTGTGTGCATGGGGCTGTTTGAAACCAGCATCTCAGTACACAGTGCCCTTACAACAGCTGCTTTGGTCTGAGAAGGTGGGAGACCTTCACACAGCACGCAAGGACATCAGAGAGGTGGTATCACAGGCTGTGTTGACTAAAACTGCAATGGGACCAGTGAGACCACAAGAGGTTTCCAAAACAAACCAAAAACCTGCTGCTTATGATTTGTTCTGAGTATTTACTTCACAGCTCTTGGATTTGAAAGGTATCCCAGGAACTTCAGACTACTCTCTAGGTGCAGAAGATGTGGTGGCCACACTTAAGTACTTCTTAAGCTGATCTAGAATTCACTTCAGCACTGAGCTTAACCTAAAACCTGGATATCCTCCATACTTCTGCAACTTTCATTACTCTATTTCAACCATTCACCACATCCACAACTCCATTTCCTTCACTGCCTGTTTCACCACCACTCCCCAAAAGCCAGGTAAACACACAAAAAAAGGTAAACCTGGTCTGCTCTTTCTTCCTAAGCTCTTTCCACCCAACCCCTGACAGCTCAGGCTCCCAAATCCATCATGTTGTTTGACTCGGAGCCCTCACACCTCTCACCAGAGCACTTCCTACCTCCTGCCTCTGATCCAGCACCAGATCCTGTAGTGATCACCTCCCACCACTTGCCCTCAGCTGGCACTGGCCAAACTTGTGACCAGAGCAAAGCTGCATCTCACACACACACAAAAGCCATCCTGAGCCACAAAAGCCATGCCGAGCCTTCCATCTTGCCTCATCAGTTTATCTCCAGTTCTGTGTACCTGCCATTTCAGGTCATGTTCCTCCTTTTCCAAAGCCTCCCTCAGCCTCCCAGGCAGAGATCTGCAAAATCCACAGGTGGTAACAGATCAGGAAACACAGTGTTAGGACATAAGAAGGAAAAAAAAACCAAAGTGCTGGAGAATCACAGAAACATCATAGGACAGTGTGAGAGAGCTGGGCTTGATCAGCATGGAGAAGAGAAGGCTCCAAGGGAGACCTTAGAGCATCTTCCAGTGCCTAAAGGGCTAACAGAAAGCTGGAGAGGGGCTTTTGACAAGGGCCTGTAGGAACAGGACAGGGGGGAATGGCTTTAACCCGACAGAGGGGAGATTGAGATGAGACATTAGGAAGAAATTCATCCCTTTGAGGGTGCTGAGGCCCTGGCACAGGGTGCCCAGAGAAGCTGTGGCTGCCCCATCCCTGGCAGTGTTCAAGGCCAGGTTGGACACAGGGGCTTGGAACTTGATGAGCTTTAAGGTCCCTTCCAACCCAAACCATTCTATGTTTTAAAAGAAGAATTCCACCATCCCAGTCTGCCTCAAAGCTGAGGCTCACGGGGAGCT